CAAAATGTGTGTGAACTATGTAATATAGCACATGGTAGTTGTGCCATGAATGTTTATTATCTTTGTTTTCATTTATTATTCTTTTTTTTCTTTTTTTTTGGCAGTACTGGAGTTTAAACTCAGGTTGTCATGCTTGCTAGGTAGGCACTCTACCTTTTAAGCCCTCCTTTGCTTTTTTTGTAAGTCAGCAGTGTCTGAGATAGGCTTATATTTGCTTCGTATCATAGGGTGGTAACTTTTTGCATAGTTTTGCCCAGAAGAAGGCAGAACTAAACGGAAATAAAAAGGACAATTACAAGAAGCTCTTAAAAGATAACAGAAAAATGAACATCTTTTAAAAATCAGGGGACTGACGGCATGGCTCAAGTGGCAGAGAACTTGCCTGAAAGTGTAAGGCCCTGAGTTCAAACCCCAGTACTGCCCCCCCTCAAAAAAAAAATCAAAGAAAGAAAAGAAAAAAATATTTAAAAATCATGTAAAAATTTAATGTCCCAGAAAAATATTAAAAATGATTTAAAAAATAATTTTCCTTGTAGAGAATTGCATCTTCTAGTTCTACGTATATCAGAATTATCAAAAGCAAAAATGAAATCTCCAAAATTCTTTGTGTAATATTTTGTGGATGAATACCTGAGGTAAGAAAAGAGTTTCAGGATCCTGGATGAAATAGGAATATGATATGAAGATGGAAAAGCAAAACAAAGCAAGAAAGTATGTGATCATGGAGTAAATGTTTCATCTCAGAGATGAAAGACTTAAAGAAAGGAGAGATTAAAACCTAAGACAAAGAAAAAAGGAAGATGTCAGTGTGCTGAAGAAAAGAGAAGTTCCCAATATCTTTCCTGCTTATTCTTCCAATGTAATTCACAGCTAGACCCACCTTACCACATCCTGGTTGATACCAACTTCATCAACTTTTCCATTTAAGTCAAACTGGATTTATCTTATCAATGATGGACTATCTGTATACCATGTTTGTCAATATAACTGATTGTATAATGGCTAAAATTGAATAATTGTGCTGTGTGGGCTGATGCTTGCCTGTAATCCCAGAACTCAGGAGATTGAGGTACGAGGATTGGGAGTTTGAGACCTGTCTGGGCTATATACTGAGACCCTGTTTCAAAAAAAAGAAAAACAAGCAACTAACCAACTAATCAAACAGGGAGAGAGAGACAGAGATACAGACACACAGAGAGACACAGATCCAGACTGAGCACACACACACACACACACACACACACACAGAGAATGTGATAATTACGGTACATGTATTAAGTAGCTCTAAAGATTTCTCGGAATTCAGAATTTGAGTGATTGCCTGTACGTAAAAAGGAATCTATGCAAATGACTGTTTAGTACAGTACTGCTTTGCACTGCTAACACAAGGTTTACATGTTGCCACAATTGACTGTGACCTTAAAAGAAGAATCCAGAGGTTTCCTGGAGTTCCCGAGCAGGTGCTAGATGAGTCCCTTAGATCTGATTCTTACAAGATAAAGTTTCTTTGCCTTCCTTTAACCAACTTCCTTTGTTGCCAGTTCATTAAACATGAAGTAGCATGATTATTCTATTTACCCGTTTGTTCTATTATGAGCTGAGTATGGTTAAATACACTCACTTTTTGATGTTGTTTTGAAAATGAAGGTAAAAAAAGGAAAATTTCAGAATTTTATTATATCAGACAAACTTCAGATACTTTGCATACATTTATTAGTACTCCCAATTTTTATTCCCATTACTGTTACCCTCCCTGAGTCACCATTATTTTCCTCTGGAATGGTTGCAATATCTTCCCAAAAGATCTCCCAGCTTTCAGTATTACCCACCTTTAAGATATTCTAAATCCACCTGAGTATCTCTTGGAAATGGTAATTTTATGTATTATTTTCCTGGGGTATCTCTAAAACAAATTTCTAAGACTGGTTGCTTCCAATAAGAAAAAGTTATCCTCTCACAGTTCTGGAGGCTAGATAGCTGAAATGAAAGTATAGGCAGAGCTGCAGTTTCTCCAAAGGTTTTAAGGTAGAACCCATTCCTTGCATCTTCCAGCATTCCTTGGCTTGTGGTCAGTTCCCTCTTTGCTCCATAGTCGCATAATATTTTCTTCTATATTGAATATCCTTCTGCCTCTCTCTTATAAGGATACTTGTAATGGTGTTTAGGGTTCATCCAGATAATCCATGATTATCTCCTTATCACAAGGTCTTTAACTTAATCATATCTTCAGAGACTCATTTTACAAATAAGGTACATTCACAGATGGGTTCCAGGGATTTGATGTGGATATCTTTTGAGGGCCATTAGTCACCTACCACTTTTCCCTTCAAGCTATTCTTCAAAAACTAGCCTGAATTTGAAATGGTCATTTGGCCATGTTTCTCTTTGTAGCTCTCAGTACAAACTCCAAACTTCCAAAGGCTCCTCATGATCAGACCTCTGCTTTCCTTCTCCAGCTTCATCACTTGCTGCATTGTGACCACACTCAATCTTGCAGACTTTCTAATTGAGCTCTGTTTTTTTGCAGTTGACATTAGTTTCCATTTCTTCTCTTTCTTGCTTCTTGACCTTTCTTTGTACATTCTGTCCTCTGGCAGGAACATTCACATTTCTTTTGCTTACTTATTAGCTGTTACAGAGTTTAACTCAGACATCCAGCTCTTCATTAAGGCCTTCCTAGATCATAAGGCCCAGATCAGGTATACTGTTAGTACATCTCCACTTTCCCTATCATGGTATCTCTTATTAATCATATTGAAATCACCCAGTTTGTACTCCTGATTTCCAGTCTCTTGTTGACGATAATCCTGTTACATCACATTCCCATAATCTAGCACAGTCACTGGCTTGAAGCAAATATTTGTTTTTTTAAATTTTTTAATATTTGAATGTTTTTATTAGTATATAATAGTTGTACAGGGGGTTTCATAGTGATATTTCCGTATATACATACATTGTATCCGTCCCCCTTCTTAAAATGACTGTGGAGTAAATATTTGTTGAACAAATAAATCATAGAGAGGAAAAAGATGGATTGAGGTTCTAGCTGCTAAAATTCAGAGGTTAGGAGTTTGCTTATGTTTTTGAATAGGTATGGACACTGAAAAGAACTTAATCTTTTTTGTTCAGGCTTATGGGATAAAGATACAAAAGTCTGTTCTCTCGCCAGCGTTTTTATCTACCACTCTTTCTGCTTTGGATGAAGCCCTGCATGGTGGTGTGGCTTGTGGATCCCTCACAGAGGTAAAGGAAAACTTTTCTTACATTCTGTTGATCTATAATCTTTAGAGCCAGGAGAAAAACTTTGGTTAAAAACCAAATTATTTCCTAAACGTTTAACTGAATTAAATTATAAGTAATTCAGTGGTCTGTGGGTTGTATACTCAAAAACCTGGTACAGTTGCTCTGTAAATGAAGGTGTTAAAAAAATTCCTGCTGACTGACTAAAATCTGTTAGGGTCTTGTTTCTTTGAACCAATTAGAAGTTGATGAAATAGTATCATCACTAAACAATTTGGGTAAATTAAAAAAGGATCACAGCTTAGTACATTAGGAAAGAAAATTTATAATTTTTTTTGATGATACTGGGGTTTGTATTCAGGGATTCATGCTTGGTTGGGAGGCACTCTACCGCTTCAGTCACTCCACCGGTCCTGAAAATTTATGATGAACATTTTATAAATAATACCATAAAGCTAAAGTGTTTCCTACTACAGATAAAACTTGGTTCTAGGAAGTGGTAAGTTATTGTATTCGATAATAATGCATAACAAATCATCCTAAAACTAGGTGACTTAAAGCAATAATAAACACTTTTTTCCCCCTCAGTTTCTTTGGGAGTGGCTTTAGCTCAGCAGAATTGGCAAAGGATGTAGTCATCCATAACTTTGTTGGGGCTGGAGGATCTGTTTCCTAGTGGCTCACTCACATGACTGGCAGTCTAGTGCCAGTTTTTGGTAGAAGACCCTAGTTATTCCCCAGGCTCTCTATAGGCTGCTTGATGGCTGACTTCTTGCAGGATGAGTGGTCCAAAGAAGGCAAGATGAAAGTGGTGGTACCTTAAATGACCTAGCTTTGGAAGTTATATATCACTACTTCTGCCATGTTATCTTCACTTAGAAGTAAGTAATTAAGTCTAGCAGAAAATTAGGCCCTGTCCTTTGAAAGAAGTGTCAAGAAATTCAGGGCATTTTAAAAGCACTATATAGTTCTTTTTCTTGGAAGGTGCATTCATGTGTGACATTATAGACTATTTGACAATACGCTCCTGAAGACTTCTTGCTTAAAGGTTTTAGAAGCATAGATACTTTCAACAAACATATAAGAAGAGCAGATTCTTTTCTTCCAGTTTTTTTTTTTGTTTGTTTTTAAGTGATGAACCCAGGGTCTCAAGCCTGCTAGACAAGCACTCTGCTATTGAGCCCTTTCTTACATCCCGATAGTCGTAATTTAGCTGTAGATTTTTTACTTGAAGATAGGGATCCTGTTATGTAATATTTAGTTCCTATCTTCCTAGAGAGATTTAAAGATGTGAAATGTGTTTAGTAGATGCCTATTAAGTAGTAAATGAGTAATTAAAAGACCTGCTGTTACACTTAATTGCCACTAGATGGTGCCAGAATCATAATATTTTGCATAGTTTTTTTGGGATCAATTTAGACCTTAGAGTGCAATTAAAGTTTATAATGATAGTGATCTAGAGCTACAAATTTACTTACACAGCAAAAAAAATCAAACTTAAGGGAAATTAACTGATACTTTTTATTTATTTATGTGGTGGACTGGGTTTGAACTTAGGACTTTGTGCTTGCAAAGTAGGTGCTCTATGGCTTGATCCACACTTCCAGTTCATTTCGCTCTGGTTATTTTAGAGATAGGGTCTCAAACTATTTGTGTGGGCTGGCTTGAACCACGATCCTCCCAATCTCAGCCTCCCAAGTACTTAGGATTATAGGCATGAGCCACCAGCACCCAGCTTAGGCTAGTTTTTTGTTTTTGTTTTTTTTTTTAATAAACTTTAGTCACATCAATATACTTTTTCTTAAAAATTCAGTATTGACATCATTAACTACAGTTTAACACATGTGATTTTTTTTTTTTGTGGTACCAGGACTTGAACTCAGGGCCTATACCTTGAGCCACTCCATCAGTTCCTTTTTGTGTTAGATTTTTGAGATAGGGTCTTGCATGCTATTTGCCTGAGCTGGCTTTGAACCTCAATTCTCCTGATCTCTACCTCCTGAGTAGCTAGGATTACAGGTGTGAGACACTGGCATCCGGCGATTTTTTTTTTTTTAAGGTAAATTTTACACATAATGAAATATATAAATGTTGTCTACCATTTGATAAATCCCAAGAAATGCATACACATGTGCAATCTCTGAATTGGTTATTTCTTTTGTGGTACTGGGGATTAAACCCAGGATGTGCTGTGCATGCTTGACAAGTGGCTCTAGCACTGAGTTGCACCCCTAGCCCCACATATGTAATCTGTACTCCTAACAGGTCAAAATATTACTTCTACCCAGGAAATCCCTTTCATATATTTCTTTTTATATTTAAGAAGTCTTTTATTTTTGAGAATCTATCTTCTCTAATAACATCTTTATCTCACACAAGAAAGTGGTTGCTCAGGAATTTTATTTTTAAACACAATCTAGCTCATTAATCTGGGCCATGTTAGGAGCATCTAGTCTTTAAATATATAGCATCCTTTCACAATGAATAATTTAATTATTGAAACTTCAAATCCCCTGAAATGATTTCTGTATACCTTCTGAATGTATTTGCTCACAAAATAATCCATTTAAGTTGTTGCCATGTTGTTTCCTGTGCTTTATTTCATCCATTTTGCTGTGACAGGAAGATGAGGTGTGTCCCCAATATTAATAATATATTGCATTTGGTCTTTCATTGTTAGAAAAACCCCAAAGAAGCTTTTAAATATATCTATCATTAATTTCAGTGAATTTTTCTAGATACTAGATTATTGTATGACTTTAAAATGTCATGGAAACATTTGTATAAGTTTGTCTTCCTGTCCCAAGTGTTTGTTATTATGATGCCTTCCTGCTTTCTTTAGCTAGGATTTTGAGGGCCAAAATATCAAAGAGAGTCGCATTATCAATAATAATGGCTATAAACCCATACATCAAATTATCATCTTTATAATTTCAGTTTTTATGTCTTTTCAGATGGGATTAGACTATCACTGATTTTTTACTCCATTTGTCATAGGAGAATCATCATCTCAGCAAAGGATATATCAAGTACCATGAAAATATAAAGTATTACTTTACTTTTGTTCACGTTGTTAGTATAGTCTTCAATCTATAGCTTCTTTTCAGGGACCTTTTTACGCCATTTGTCTGTTTTGTGAGAGATAGTTTAGTTAAATCCGTAAATCCACCTAGCTAGTTACATGTAGACCTATATTCATCCCAACCTGTTGAAGATAAAGGTACTAGAAAGGTGTATCAGCCCAACCCCTGTATCCTTCCTTCATGGACTAGAATTGGTACATAAGCATCTGATACAGGGAAGGTCAATCCATAGATTAAATACTAATTAAAGCTGATTTCATTTGTCAGATCTAAATATCAACAAAAGTTCTGATGTTTTCTTCCCACAACCTAACAAATCATCTTATATATTGTGCTTTGGAAACTCCCAAAGTAAAGGGCTCCACACACTTATCATGGATTATGATTACAGAAAACAGGGATTACATTAATCATTGGGCATCAGAGCAAGGGAAACTTCTGTCAGTAAAAGTTGAAAGTGTATTTTGAAAATGAAGAAATGCTTATATTTTAGAGTATGAACTAATAGAACGGAGGACTGACCTTTCTATAAATACTATCTACACACTAGCTTTTAGATGTGTTCTCTGATTTACTGAGCTTAAAACTACCAAATGCTTTGTGGTTTCAGTGGAAAGCTGAAACAGGCCAGCATTTTAATTAGCATGATACATATATATGAAAATATTCAGCCAAGTGTCAAGTACCTTGAAAATATAAAGTATTAATTTACTATTCCATCTTTAAAGGAAATATGTTTAAAAATCTGAGAAGTTAAACATGTACAAGTGGTATTTTCTCCACTTTATTATTCTCATGCACTAATTCAGTATAGTCCTTGGGAAAAACAGTACATTATAAAAAAACTTTAAGAACTATCTGGGTTTTCTTGGGATTTACTGTTTGGATTAGAATTTAGATAATAACACTTCAACTATAATAACTGATTTCTAATTCTTTAGAGCGTCTTCAAATATTCTTTCTTTTCTTCCTAACCCCAAAAGGAAAAAAAAGCATATCATATGCAATATTATGGGCTGCCTGGAGTTAAATTTCATTATTTTTTCAGGTTTACTTAGTAGATGAAAACATTTCAACATTAATAATTTTTAGCTTCAGACAGTTTAGCCCTGAATTCCAGCACTGAAACCACAAAGTTTCAAGTTGTGTTCAGTTCCCAGCTTCAGTCCCAGTAGTGGTTAGGAAGAGAAAACAGAACAGTCTAAGTTATTTGCTTGTTGGAAACTCAGAGCGAATAAAACATTTGCACACAGAAAACACCAGTAAAATACAACTGGCTTTGTGTAGTTAGAGTCAATGTTTTAATACCCCTAATATGAGAAAAAAAAAATACATTTGCCTGAAGAGAGAAGGAGTGTGAGGGAGGGAGAGAAAGCAGTAATATAATGAAGATCACTCAAATTATCAGCAAGGAAGCAAAAATTAATGATTGGTTTGAAAAGGAAAAATGATTATTCCCAAGAAAAGAAAGTCTAATTGTACCAAAGAAAAAATCAACTCTACTTACTTTAATCTTAAATTAGATTACTTGGTTGATTTCTTTTTTGTTTAGTTGGTTTGGTTTGGTTTTGGCAGTATTGGGGATTGAACTCAGGGCCTCTATGCTTGTCAGACAGTTGTGCTACAATTGTGTGGTTGAGATGAATGTGAAACCTGGACCTACAATCCTATCCCATTAACTCTTTGCACATTCAGAGTGGAGGCAACAAGATAGGGCAATCTGCCAAGCTAATACTTAGCAGAAGAAAATTTAAGAACTCTCTGGCTCTGATTTGAGAAAAGAAAGCTCATGGAAACTTCACATTATTTTTAAAATGACACTCAGCATCTCACTACTGCTCAACAATTGTGTAGAAATATTAGGTCTTCATACCTGCAGGATTCATTTTAAAAATAGCTAATACTCCAAACCTTAAAACCAAAAGTAAAAGCAAAGAATCTCTGAAAGGTCAGGTTGCACTTTGCTTCATGAAAGAAACCTTGATCCTAAATTGCTTTTCATCAGCATGTGGAAGAGTTTATATCTTGGATTCTCTCACCATTCCCTCTTATTTCCTGTTAATAACTGCTATTTTTTAAAGTAAATAGGAAAGGAGAGGTAGAAGGGAGAGAAACAGAACAAAAAAACCAAAACAAACAAACATAAAGGACATGGAAATGACAAGTATCCCAGGTTGCATAGTTAATAAAAATCAAATAATATCAAGAGAGATAATTGTTCATTTAATAGCATTTATTAAACACATGCCATATGACAGATCCTAAAAAACTATTATGAGAAGCATGTTTATTTCTAAATTAAGGGATGAGTGAAGAATTGAGAACAATGATCCAATCGACCATATATGCCAAAACCCTATATTAGGACAGAAGTCTTTCAAAACACTGGGCATGATAAGTAAATCATGTCAGCAGATCCTACTCAAGGAATGCTCATCTGAAATCTCTACTTTTCCCATGGCTGTTGCTGTAAGTGGGGCAGACCTGAACTTGACTGCAGGATTAACAAGACAAAACCTACCTTCACAGACCTGCAGACCCATAAAGCAAGAAAAATTAATGTTTGGTGCAGTTGTACACAGCCAAAATAGACTAATAAAGCATTTAAGTCTTATGTTTCCTTATTTCATACATTTCTATTACACACCTAACCCTCATAGGCATTTGAGTTTATGACCCCTGCCTTACTATCTTCTGTGATCATGCAGGCCACAGCTAATCCTGCTAACAAGAAAGAAAAATAACTATAATGTGATTTATTCCAATGAAAAATTGGGATGTTGATACAGGACTGTGGCATCTTGCCTCCACCTTTTTGGGTCAATAAGAGAATCAATTTAAAAGCAAAACTGTCCCACTCAAGGAGGATACCTGGTTTCCTTAAATCATAAGCAAAGTATAAAGTGAGTTACAAAATACAAATAATGTAGATATGTGGTTTTTCACGTTTCAGGACTTACAGCAAAGAACTGGGTAAATCATTCTGTTGGTATTGCAAATATTTAGCATTACTTCACATGCTTACTCTCATAGACACACTCTTAAACTAAGCTGTACAGATGTTATATCTCTTTTTATTGGACCAGTTATCTAGTCTATAATTTCTATGTTGCAGTATGAAAATAGCTTTTTTAATGGTGCCTTTAAATACAGTAGCATCTATCCCATGTGTCTTCAGCAGGGGTGGTACTGACCCCAAGGGTGAAACTTAAGTTTTAGAGAAAGTATGTGTGTGTGGGTTATTCTTTTATATATGAAGCACAGATATACAAACAAATGTACAATATATCTGTAGAATTAAAATTTCACTGAGCAGTGGGGTGGTGGAAGGTTAGGGTAAAAATGTTACAAAGGCTCTTTAGTGACTAATAATGAAAAAATGGTTAAAAAACATTTGTATATTATCTGATATAAGAAGTCTACCAACTGGTTTGAACTCCTCAATGTAAACTTTTAAAATTTAAGCTTCAAGCTTATCTTTACTACTAATTTTCAGTTATAATAGATTCAGAAATGTCTTCTTATATATTCCATAAGTAAGGAATTTGATTTTCTCAGGGAATGGGACAAAGCCCTGCAGCCCACTCCCTTTAACGAGTCCTTGAGTATGACTTTTCTTTCTTTCTTTCTTTCTTTTTTTTTTTTAAAGGTTTATTAAGCAGAGAGGAAAAGAGAAGAAAAGCTCCCATGTAGAGGACTCTCAGAAGGGCTGAGCGCCTTGAGTCTGCCTGCTGCTTCTGATTTTGTATGAGCAGCAACCCTCTAGCTCCACTTTCGATCTTGGTTCTGTAACTGATATACCCAGATTCAATGAAGTTCACATAAATCAAAATTGCTGATAAATAAATTAGGAAATTTTGAAGTTAAAGTCAGGAAAGAACAACTACAAAAATGACAGCTGAATGTTTCCAGATTTATTCTTACCCTCTCAATCATTTCCAGGCCTTTCAATAAGAAACAAATTGAATGCAATTGGATACCTCCAGTAATACCTGGATCTATTGCTTTGTAACAAAGTACTGCAAAATGAGCAGCTTAAAAACAACACCCAATTATTATCTAAAAGATCTGTAGGTCAGAGTCCAGATGTGCTTTACAGAGTTCTCTGCTCAGGATTTCATAAAGCTGAAATGAAGGTGTCAGCTGAGCTGTGCTGTTCTGGAAAACCAGCCACATGTCAACTTCTAAGCTCAGTTGAGTTGTAGGCAAAATCTACTCCATGGATGTAGGTCTGGGGTCTCTTTTTTGCTATTATCTGAGGGCCCTTTGCTATTCTAGAGGTCACTTATATTTCTTCTCACACAGCCTTCTCTATCTCTAAACCAGCAATGGCATCTCAAGTCCTCTTCATGCTTTGAATCTGTCTTCCCTTTCTTATCAGTCAGAGAAAGCTCATTGCTGCTGGGGGTTCTTGTGATTAGATCTCCCTCTCTTAAAGCCACTGTGACATATAACATACCATAATTAAGGGAATGACTTATATTTAGAAGTTCCAAGGATTATAACACAGCATCACTGGAAGGCTACTTTAGAAATTCTGCCTACTACAGTGTCTCTGAGGACAGAGACTCAGAAATTAATAAATTAAGGTTTAAAAAAATTATAATGCGCACACACACACACACACACACACACACTGACAGCAGTCTTTAAGATGAACCCAGTGATTCTTACCTTTAGTAGGGCTACTACTTGTAGTCCCCTCCCACATTGTATCAAGATTTAGTTAAACATACTGAATTTCTTTAATTTCAGTCCTTGTGTCTTTGTAATTACTCCCTTTTCAGCTCTGCAGCCATTACAGTTAAATTCTAAAATAAGCAGAACTTAGGACCCAACATTTTTTTTTTTTTAAATATAGAACGCTTTACAAATTTGCGTGTCATCCTTGCTCAGGGGCCATGCTAATCTTCTTTGTATCGTTCCAATTTTAGTATATGTGCTGCTGAAGCGAGCACAGGAATTAACATTTCTTTTATTTTTTCGTCTACTCATATGTGCATACAATGTTTGGGTCTCAACATTTCCATCACAGAATTAAAACATATTTGAAACTGTTTTAAAAATTATTATAATTTCATCTTTTATTATCATTGTTCTATTAAAATTGTTGTTTTTATTAGAATGAAAAGATCTTTCATAAGAGTAAAAAAATGTTTTTAATTTTTTTTTGCCTGTTTTGTGTATGTTTTATGCAAATGTTATATATATTTTATCATTGCTAGGGTTTGAACTCTGGGCCTACACCTTGAGCTACTCCACCAGCCATTTTTTGTGATGGATTTTTTCGAGATAGGGTCTCACAAACTATTTGCCTGGCTGGCTTTGAACCATGAGCCTCCTGATCTTTGCCTGCTGAGTAGCTAGGATTATCGGTGTGCACACCAGCTTGTTTTATATTATACAGGACATATTAGTAATTGTCCTGAATAGGACAATGTGTATGTCCTAGTATGTATAAAAAATGTGATGTATTGGAGGACCACATTAATTTTTTGTTTGTTTATTGAAATACGTGCTCCAAAATTTTGGAGATCTTTTCACTAATTATTCATTGGTAGCAGTAATTATTAATTCTTAAAGTCTAAACCATTGTAGGAATTATAAATCAGTTCCTAGATTCTAATATGTGTACATTTGTATTTTAAGGTTAAGCCCTGACAAATGAAATTTTCCTTTAGTCTCAATATGGCGATTCCCAAAGTATATAGTAGCAATAGCATCACCTGGGAACTTACAAATTTGCAGGCCACATCTCAGAACTATTGAGCCAGTAGATTGCTGGTTAACAAGCTTGCCAGGTGATTGTAGTGCTCACTTAAGTTAGAGAACTTAACACTGATCTAAATCATTTGGATTCATAGATTATCCCTTCTAATTTCTTCTTATATCATAATATATCTGAGACAGTTTCTTTATGTCTATAATATGTCTCAGTCTTAGGTGGGAGTTTTTAAATCTACCTGAGATTGTCTTCTTTTTTCCCCTCTTCCTTTTCTTTCTTCCCAGAGTTAAAAATTTTTCATTAGCATTATTTTTAGAATGTCATTTGTCAATGTGAATGTATAAATGAGTGAATGAATTCTCCATCCTTTCCAAATTACAGTTTCTTGTCTGAATTATAAAACACAGAAGGTAATTTAAGTGACTTTTTCATTTCTCCCAAGGATAGTACTTAACTAGTACCAATCTGGGTGCTTAGGGAAAAAGTCAGTTCATTACATAATGATGGATGTGGATGTCTTAGAGCATCCTGTGATGCCCGGAAACACAGGTTAGTTGCACTGTTTTTACAACAAGTTCCTAAAAGGATATACTTGGATTGACTTACAGCATTTATACAAATATATGTGTGTGTGTGTGTGTGTGTGTGTGTGTGTATGTGTGTGTATGTGTGTGTGTGTGTGTGATGTGTGTGTGTATATATATATATATATATATATATATATTTTTTTTTTTTTTTTTTTTAAGATTACAGGTCCACCAGGTTGTGGAAAAACTCAGTTTTGTATAATGATGAGTGTTTTGGCTACATTACCCACTGACATGGGAGGATTAGGAGGAGCTGTCGTGTACATTGACACAGAGTCTGCATTTAGTGCTGAAAGGTAGGACATTTTATTATTTTCTATTAATAATGCTTTACTTTTATTAGCTATGTTATGGAACATTTACAAATAGGTTTACCTTTTTTTAAGAACAAGCAATGCTAGATACTCTTTTAAAGGAATTTCCTTTTAAAGTTGAATAAAAAGCAGTTCCTTTTTGTCTTTTCTATCTCTTATTGCTGTAAGTAGGGTTCTTGGATAAACTATGATTTGCAGAAGGTTGGGAAGAAGGAAAGTGAAGAAATAGGGAGGAATGTAAGTAGAAAATGGAGAAGAGGGCAGGCTAATAAGAAAGAAAAAAAGGATGGGCTGGGGCCATGGCTCAGATGGTAGCATTTGCCTAGAAAGTAAAAAAAAGTAAGCTGCTTTGGGAGTAATTTATAATTGAAAGTAAAATATTGGTGAATGCACATTCATAATAATAAATGGGTGGGGTCTAGGAATGCTGGACATCCTATAATATGAAAGATACTGCTATTGGTAGGGTTGAAAGTCACTGCTCTAAATAACATTTTGTGAGTTAGAATATATTTCAGCGTGATTTAACTAACTGACATTCATCTCACTTGATCCATACAACAGAACTGTGAGGTTAGCAGGGTTGGTATTATGATCTCCATTTTAGAAATGAGGAAAATGGAACTCAGAAGTCATGTGATTTGCCTGAGGTTATATAGCTAATAAGTGAATTAAGAGGTGAACTCACATTCTCTTGGAAAAAATGATCGATTAAGGGATCTAGGTTGTGTTTTCATTCATTCATTCAATAACACCCGTTAGACATTTGGGCATTCTATTTGTGAATCCATCTTTGCCCCATTTCTCACTGGACTTCCAGTGTATTTTCCCTCTTTATTTGCAAGAGTTCTTTGTACATCTTGTAGATATTAATTGTCTGTTTTACACATTGTAAGTATCTTTTCTTGTTCTGTCATCTGTCATCTTTACCTGTGGGGTCCTTGGTTGAATAGAAATTTGTAATTTTGAAGTTGTTGTCTGACATTTTTAGTTTTTGGACCTTAATTAAGAAGTTTCCTCACCATTAGGTATCACAGGTATTTTCCTACAGTTTTTCTAATATAGTTATAGTTTTTCTTTCACATTAATGTCTTTAATAGAAACCTATTAAGAATGTACCCATTTTAAGTTTTGACATAAATCACCACATTCCTCCACAGAAAATTTGTGCATAAGTATTATGTCCCAGCCTATTGTGTTTTGGGAGTATTTGTGAATGCTTTGTGTTTTTAATTAGTGTCTTTAAATTTTGTCATGGGGAGAAAATTGTATCTCACTGTTTTAACCATTGTGGTTCAACATCTTTTTATATATTCATTGACCGTTTATATTTGGAAAATTATGTAGAAATATACTTTACCCAGTTTTCTGGGTAAAGTATACCCATTAATATCCATAAAACAAAATTTGTTTTATGGATATTAATGTCTGAGATTTTTTTCTAGGTGGTCGTTTATATTTCATCTTTGGAGGGCTGGAGGTGTGGCTCAAGTGGTAGAGCACTTGCCCAGCGAGCATGAGGCCCTGAGTTCAAACCTCATACTGCCAAAAAAAAAAATAGGCTTTGTATATTCTAACTTTGATTATGCTATCTTTTCTTACCTTTTTTTTTTTTAATTTGGTGGTTTTTTTTGTTTTTGGTTTTTGTTTTGGTGGTACTGGGGTTTGAACTCAGGGCCTTCCACTTGCTAGCAGGTGCTCTACCACTTGAGCCACTCCACCAGCCCTAGGTTTATATTTTTAAAGATTTTTTCTAAAATACAAATGATTTAGAGAAACTATAGAAAACTGCAGCATATTGATGTGCAAGTAACCATTCAATACATTATTTAGCATGATAATTGTGAATAAAGGTAGTTCATGTCCATATGTTCTTCTGAGCAGCCTTAGCGGAACAAGACAGCAGCAGTAAGTTCTAGCTAGAACCTTTGGCTACTCAAACCAGTAGGTGAAATTCACTAATGCCAGAGGGCCAAATATTTTTCTTTCCTTTCAGTTGTTACTCTCAAGATGTCTAGTGCTTGATTAGCTGGGTATCCAGACTTTTGAGAAACTTCCATGTTTTTGGTAGAGGGTTCCATACCTATTCTATTAAAAACTGATGGGATCCAAGCACTACAGCTTTTTAACTGACATCTCTGACTAGCACTAAACTCAGCAAATAGTTGCCTTAATAATAAAAAAATTTACACATCTCTCCCAAGCCCTCAAAATTTGCCTGTTTTGCCATTGCCAATACCATATAATTTCTTCTTGCTTTCCTTACTTACCTCATTTCCCTCTTACATTTTAATTCCTTTGCTCCACTCAAGCACTTTTGAAGCCATGTGATTCATTTCCTTTTCCTTTTTCTTTTTTTTTTTTATTCATTTATTCACATGTGCATACATTGTTTGGGTCATTCCCCCTGCCCCCCTCCCCCACCCCCTTCCCTCCTAACCCTCCCCTCACTTCCAGGCAGAACCTGTTCTGCCCTTATCTCTAATTTTGTTGAAGAAAAAACCATAAGCATAATAAGGAAGACAAATGCATTTTTGTTAGTTAAGAATAGCTATACAGAGAGATTCCTAACATTGCTTTCATGTACAAATGTGTTATAATCCATGTTGATTCATCTCTAACTGATCTTTACACTGGTTCCTGATCCCCTTCTCATGTTAACCTCTGTTGCTTTAAGGTTTCTGTATTAGTTCCTCTGGAGTGGGGATATCAAATGCTTTCATGTTTTGGGTTTCCTACCTATTCCTATATCTCCCGTATGTGCTCTCCCCTTGTCATGTGATCCAAGTCCAACCACATTACTGCATTTGCCCTAGATCTAAAGTCTGCATATGAAGGAGAACATAACGATTTTTGGTCTTCTGAGCCTGGCTTACCTCATTCAGAATGATGTTCTCCAGTTCCATCCATTTACCTGCAAATAATAAGATTTCATTCTTTTTCATGGCTGAGTAAAATTCCATTGTGTACAAGTACCACATTTTCTTGATCCATTCGTCAGTAGTGGGGCATCTTGGTTGTTTCCATAACTTGGCTACTGTGAATAGTACTACAATAAACATGGGTGTGCAGGTGCCGCTGGAGTAACCTGTGTTGTATTCCTTTGGGTATATCCCCAGGAGTGGGATTGCTGGTTCATATGGCATATACCTCTTACTTCTGAAGCATTTTGTTTTTTCTCCTCCTGTTCAACCTAGTTAAATTTTTAACCTTTTTTTGGGGGGTGGGGATGGTACTGGGGTTTGACTCAGGGCCTTGCTCTTGCTAGGCAGGTGCTTTACCACTGAGCCAGGCCTCCAGCCCTAAGCTAATTATGTTTTTGAAAAGTTGTTGACTAGTTTTATTTCTCTCCTCTTTCTCTTTTAGTTTTTTTCCCTTGTATTTTTGATTATAGCATATGTAAGGAACTTACTGTTTTTTTAATCTCTTTAAACTGCTTAGCTTCTTCCTAGAACTCTTTAATTGTTTTGTGATAAAAACACTATTCTTTTGTGCTTTTGTGGCTTTAAATGGAACACAAAATGTAGGATGGTTTTAGTGTTTAGTCTTTTTTCCCAGTCCCTTTGGATGGCTAGATACTAGGGCTGATAAAGTATTATTTTAAATGGGAGACCGTCATACTCAAAGGGTTGTATTTTTAACATTTTAAACCCTGGACATTTGTAATTTCTTGTAATGCTTTCCATGTATTATTCTATTACTGATGATAGTTGCTCATGTTTCAATGTGTAATTCTTCTGCACTCATTGTACCCCATATTATTAGATCTAGCTTTGAGGTCATAATTCAGTGCTTAGAATATCATTTTTTGCTTATTAAGAAGCAACTGGAATCATTAATTTGTTTAGATAACAATTTTCAGCTTACTAATGAACTACTGGATACCAGTTATTTGTATGAGTTAAATTTTAATTGAGAAAACACTTTTCAGCAGTGAGACATGGTAGCTTACTAATATCTGATTATTAGAATGATAATATATCATATTTGTTTAAATAAATTTGTTCATTCAAGAAAATGAATTTTCTTACTTGCTAATATGTCTTATAGCTGTTAGACAAAATACTATTCATATAATACATAGTCTTAGAAAAATAAGTCTCAGAGACATTGTTGCTTGCTCAAGATTAGATGAGACCTAAAGGCCCTTGCTGGTCTCATGCTGTGACAGCTAACCTCTGTTAGTGCCTAAAAATAGGAGGTGGCATTCAAAACTTGTATTTTCAGCCATCCTTCTTTTACCTGCTCTATTTATCAGGCTTAGGAGTTTCTCATTAGAGGAGTTTCATTAGAGGCTCAGCAAGTGCCTTTAAATCACTGTTTATTTTTTCTTGTGCTGTTCCCCCCTCACTCCCCACAGACTGATTGAGATAGCAGAATCCCGTTTCCCCAGATATTTTAACACTGAAGAAAAATTACTTTTGACAAGTAGTAAAGTTTATCTTTATCGAGAACTTACCTGTGATGAAGTTCTACAAAGGTATGCTGTTTTCAATTTTGATATTTTAGTAATGTTTTCAAGATTTAATTTTGTTTTTCATGTTTTCAGCTTCTGAGTAAAGAAAAAAATTCTTACGTATTAGAATTATGGGAAGGGCTGGTGTGGAGTGACTCAAGTGGTAGAGTGCCTGTCTAGCAAATGTGAGGCCCTGAGTTCAAACTCTAGTACTGCCAAAAAAAAAATTTAGGGGAAATGATTATTTCTGGATTCTTTATTTGCTGTAGTCTTTGGAAGTAGTTAAAATAGAAAAAAAAAGTACTAAATAAGGACTGGAGATATGACTAAACTGCTAGAGCACTTGCCTAATAAATTGCCCTAAGTTCAATCCCTGGTGCTGTCAAAAAACCAAAAAAACCCCTAAATGAATAAAATGTTTCAGATTATTATCTAAATGGTATATTAATTATTATTTCTTTAATTTCCTTAAAGTTTATCAGCTTAAAATGGCAAATACTTATTACCTTACAAAGTTTCTGAGGGTTGAGTGTCTGGGAGTAATTTAGTTGAAAGTTTCTGACTCAGAGTTCTTAAATGGTTGATTAAGCTATTGGTCAGGGTTACAGTCTGAGATAGGTCAACTGTGGTTGCAAAATCTGCTTCCAAGGCCACTCTTCTGGTTGTTTCATTCCTTACCATGTGGACCTCTCTGTAGAATCACAACATGGCAACCTGTTTCCCCGCAGAGTGAGTAATCTGAGAGAGTCAGCACGTGAAAAGACTGCCCAAGATAAAAACCTAACCTATCAGAAATGGCATGCATTGTTTTGTCATATATTATTAGCCACTTAGACCAACTCTTGCACAGTATGGGTGGGGGCTACAGAGCGATGTGAAATACTAGGAGGTGGGAGTAGGTGGGGGTCATCTTGGAGACTGGCTATCATAACTAATTTTATTCTAAAATTGAAGCTTTAACAGTATCCTAGGAGAACATGTATAGAAGAGCCAAAAAAGTTACACTTACTGACCTTTTTTTTTTTTTTTTTTTTGTGGTACTGGGTTTGAACTCAGGATCTTACATTTGCTAGGCAAGTGCTCTACCGCTTGAGCCACTCCACCAACCCTTTTTAGTGTTGGATATTTTCAAAATAGGGTCGTGTGAACTATTTGCCTGATTTGGCCTCAAATGTCAGTTCTCCTGATTTCTGCCTCCTGACTAGCTAGGACTACAGGCTTGAGCCACCAGCACCCTTGAATTTTTGCAGTCACCACTTTAATTCAGGGAAGAACAATTTGCTGTTGTTTTAAAGTTTATTAACATTTGTAACACTCTATTTTATAATTATGTGTTAAATTTGTCCAAATTCTTTTATAGGATTAACTCTTTGGAAGAAGAAATTATTTCAAAAGGAGTTAAACTTGTGATTATAGATTCTGTTGCTTCTGTGGTCAGAAAGGAGTTTGATACACAACTTCAAGGCAATATAAAAGAAAGGAACAAATTCTTGGCCAAAGAAGCATCCTTACTGAAGTATTTGGCTGAAGAGTTTTCAATCCCAGTAAGTTTTTTTTTTTTTCTGTCATTTTTCTTTTTCTTTCTTTTCTGTTAAGTTCACTGATTTATAATATCAAGTAATAAAAATTAGAGGAAAATGTAAAACAAATGACTTTTAAAAGGTTTAGTTGCTATAGAAAATATCATTTTCTTAAATTAGTTCATCTACTGAGATTATATTTTACTATTTTTATAATTTGATACAGAGGTAGATTTAAATGTTTTTTAATAGTTCCCATAGTTGTTCTTTTAATTCTTGTTGTTTACTCATTGTGTATGTTTTGTGTCACATTTGTCACACATTAAGTTGTAAAACTCCATGGAATTGCCTAGTCCTTGTTCTAGGCTGAAATATTGTCAGTTTTGTCAATATTTTAGGTTTACATCCTGTGGTACTGTTTAGTGCTCTTTTGTACACAGAATAATTTGGTTTGCTTCCAATGGCTAGGAGGTCAACCATTAAGGTATGTTTGGAGTGATAATAATGAAGATGCCAGTAAGGAAATCTTGAAAGATTACTGTTGACATGTCTTTCAGTTGTGAGCATTGTTATCAGGAACTCTGAAGATGAGAGAATATTGCAAAGTTTGTGGTAAACAAACTATAACATATAAGAGCATACTAAGTTACACTCCCATCTCCTGGCATGTGGGAGAGTTTTACTTGTTCTGTAGCTTCACCAATGTTTAATATTGTTATGCATTTCCTTTTTTCTTTTTTCTTTTTTAAGACAAAGTCTTGCTTTATAGCTCGAGGCTGGCCTCAACTCACAATCCTGTTTCTACCTCTGAGTACTGGGATTACAGGCGTGTGCCTCCACAGCCCGTTTAGGGTTTTCAAGTTTAGTAATGCCTCATCCAAATAGAAGAAAATTTCTTAACCTGAGTTAAAATTTGGTTGAGATTTTATAATTTTTAGATTTGTTTTTTTAAAATTAAAATCTTGGATTTTAGCAACACGTGGAGTATATATACAGTGTTAGCTACCCCAAGTCTTTGAGATTTATAAAGCCAAACAAAAAAGTTGAGAGAAAATATGATGTACATAAAGTTCTACATATTTTAATGGCTTTCTAATTCATAATTTGGGTTAAAATCAAATACTACAAAGTTTATCTTGGATGGTACTCATATTTAAAATTTCCTTGTAGTTAGTTAAAATGATAAAGTTGAATTAATATTTTCCCTGGTCAAGGAGAATAGGAGTATTTCAAAACACTTCATATAGATATTTGATTGAATGGAAATTTACATAGAGTTATGTGCTTATTAATTCATACTGTTCCTTGACATAGCCTATGCAAAAAATGAAAATTCACTTTTTAGAAATAGTGTTTGTTTCTTTTAAAATAGTAATTGTAAGCAAATGCTTTTGGTTTTTCTAAGATGATTTGTTTTCGTGAGTGAAACTGCTTTTCTTTGTTTTTAATAGAGCCCTCTGAAAGACTAGGTAGTTAGTATCTGCGCATTTCTATCTTTACCATGTTTTTCTGTTTAGAGATAAATGTAAAATATAACATGTATTTATATAACTCAGTGTGGTGTTGGTCTTCTGTGGCAGGTAAGTTTTGGTTTTAAAAGGCCCTTGAAAAATACTTCCTTTAGGAAATGTTAGTTTTCCTAGCTTAATTATCTCATCTGAGTAGAAAATCAAGAACTTCTTAGCTTTTATAGTATACTTTGAATAAGTGGCCTCGTGGAATGAAATTTCTTAAAGCAATATATTGTTTTCTAGTTCACTATAGTTTTCAAATGGACAAACCTTGTATCTCCTTGTAGTTCCTCAGACATGCCAACAATCATTTCTGCTTAAAAGAGTGTTTTTTCTTCCTCTCAATAACCATATTACTTTTCTTTCCTGATGCCTTTTCAGTGAGGATTTGCCTAACCATGTACATATTAACCACACCCATCCCTCTCCCATATCTCTTACCATGCTTTATCTCCCCATGACAGTTTTCACTCTAGTATGTTGTATACCTATGTGTTTATTGTTTCTGTGTGTCCTCTACTACAAGAGTGGTTTCAGGGACTTTGTATACTTTGATTCTTAGCAGCAGGAATGGTGCCTAACATGCAGTAGGCACTGAGTAAATATTTTTGAATGTATGAATTGCAGATTCGGTTTCTCTTTTTGGACTTCAGTTATATACATATATATATGTATTGAACTTAAATTTTAATATTTGTTTTCTACTCTATTTTGGCCCTATCTTATTTTTAATAAGTATTGTTTATTTTTAAGAGTGATAAAATATAGATTTAGGTAGCAGAATATCTTATATAAAAATTGTACTCAGATTATTCTGGCATCTCATAGCAAGAAAGAAGAATTCTTAAGATTTTGAAATTTAGGAGAGGCTGTGGTCATCGAGACACATCAGAGAGCCAGGCAGTAGGAGAAGAGATTCTATCTCAGGCTAGTAGTGAGATAGATAAGCTTAAATATTTATATTTAATTTTATTTGTGACACTATATGTGTTTATGTACACATATATGCATGTTTGTATATAAGCATGCCTGAACACATGGAGCTCTCACCTTCTCACTGAGTAATTGATTGAACTACTATATGGAAAGTTTGGAAACATATAGAAGGTCCGATTTACATAATCAACAAATTTGATCTAATTGGCATCTATGGAACACACTATTTAATGCCAGCAGAATATAGATTCCTTTCAAGCACACACAGGATATTCACCAAAATAGACTATATTCTGGGCCATAAAGCAAACCTTATAAAAGACCACAAGAGAATTAAACTAGAAGTCAATAACAGAAACATATTTGGAAATTACCTAAAAACCTTCTGAATAACTCATGGGCCAAAGAATAAATCACAAGAGAATTTGGAAAGTATTTTTAAGTGAATGAAAATGAAAACACAACATGTCAAAATTTGTTGAATATAGCTATAGTAATGGTTATAGAGAGAAATTTATTTCATTAAATAAAGTAAGGTTTCAAATTAATGATATAAATTTATAAAAAGTAGAAAAAGAAGAAGATAATTAAACCCAAAGTAAACAGAGAGAGGAAATAACAGAAGATTAAAGTAGAAATCAATGAAATTTAAAAAAATGGAGGAAAAAAAGTCAATGAAATTAAAAGCTGGATCTTTGAAAAGATCAATGCAACTGACAAAAATCTTCCCATGCCAGGCATGGTGGTACACACCTATAATCTCAGCAGTTGGGAGGCTGAGTCAGGACTGTGAGTTCAAGACCAGGAGGCTATATAGAGAGCATTTCTCAAAAATAACAATAATAACAACAACAACCCCTCCCCACACCGAACAAGAAAAACAGAAAGAAGAAACAAATTGTCAATATCAGGAATGAAAAAGGGGATATTACTGTAGGTACAGCAGATATTTAGTAGATAATAAGGAAATGTTATGAACAACTTTAGCCCAGTTTATTTTGAAAGGAATAAACTACCATAGCTTACTTAAGAATTAAATAACCTGAACAATCATATATCTGCTAAGGAAACTGAGTTTGTATTTTAAAATCTTCTTACAAAAGAAATTGTAGGTTCAAATGACTTTAGTGGTGAAATATATCAAATATTTAAGGAAGAAATACCAGTTTTATACAAATTCTTCCCTAAAATTTGCAAGAAAACAATAGAACAATGTCTCTCATGAATGTAAACACACAGATTTCTTTTTTTTTTTTTATTGTTTTATTATTCATATGTACATACAAGGCTTGGGTCATTTCTCCCCCCTGCCCCCACCCCCTCCCTTACCACCCACTCCGCCCCCTCCCGCTCCCCCCCACCCGCTCAATAACCGGCAGAAACTATTTTGCTCTTATCTCTAATTTAACACACAGATTTCTTAACAAAATATTAGCAAATCAAATCCAGCAGGTAGAGCTTATTTTAAGAATACAAGGTTTATTTTTAATGTAATGTTAAAAGATAAAAGTCAACCCATTTAAAAAAAAATCGTCTTGGTAGGTAAAGAAAGGACAAATCTATTCTTGATGAAAATTTTCAGCAAACTAGAAGGAGAAGGGAACTTTCTCAACCTGATAAAGGGCATCCACAAAAACCCTACAACTAACATCATACCTAATGGTGAAATATTGAATACTTTCTTACTTAGATTGGGAACAAAGCAAGACTGGCCCACTTTTACCTGACTTAACGATACCGCACTGGATTGTTGTTCCCTGGATTTGTGTCTTGGCACAGTATTGTTGCCAGACAAGCAGTTAACTTACTTTAAGCAGGTTTACGCCAGACCAGGAATTAAGAGTAAAGCAGGCACAAAGTTTATTGAAAGGGTGGGACTTACTGAAAGAGGTAAACCAAAGAATGACTGAAGTTCATGAGATTATATAGTATGACCATCTTGTTGTCCCCTATTCCCATAATACAGGGCATTCCAAGAGGGTCTTGTTAGTCTGCCCTGTCCTTGAAACCTGTCATGCTCATTATCTGGGTGAGATTCCCCCCACTTCGTCCATCTTGGGAAAGTTTGTTGTGCCTCAGCACCTGCATGCGAAGCTGGTCTTCCACATCTCCTTAAATATCTTGCCCCCAAGTATATCTTCCTGTCTCTTTCATCCAAAACAAAGTCACCCCTGTCATCCATCCCTCTACATTTATATCCCCAGGGTTATTTCTGTTGTTTGTTCCCAGGGACATTTCTGTCATTTAATTTCCATCACATTTGTCCCCTTACACTAATACTTAATCATCTACTGTAGATCCTAGTCAGTATCATATGGCAAGAAAAGGAATTTAAATACTGTCAGATTGGAAAAGAAATGAATATCTTTGTTCATAGACAATGTGATGTTCTTGGTAGAAAATCCCGAAGACTTTTACAAGAAAAGAGAAAAAAAGCTATTAGATTTAACAAGTGATTTTTAGCAAGACTGTAGGATATGAGTCAGTATGTAGAAGTCTATTTTTTTTGTATGTGAAAAACAATTTAAAATTGAAATAGAAATCCTATACCATTTATAAGCACTGAAATGTAAAATACTTAGGGACAACAGTAATAGTATATGTAAACTTTTTATGCTAAAACTTAAAGAAATCAAAGAAGACCTAAATACATGTAGAGTCTTATTCTCTACTCATAGATTTAAGAGTCAACAGTAGGGCTAGGAGGGTTCAGTGGTAAAGCATGTGCTTAGTATGTACAAAGCCCTGGGGTTCAATGTTGAGTATCAGTCATAAAGAAAAAAAAAAAAAAGAAAAAGAAAAGAGAAGGACTCAATATTGTCAAGATTACCAGTTCTTTCCAGATTGTTGTATGTGTTCATTTTAATTTTTAGTCAAAATCCTAGTATGTGTTAGGTAGAAGTTAGCAAACTAGCTGTGAAATTCATGTGGAAAAGCAGGAGACTGAAAATAAAGAAGACAATTTGTTAAAAGGAGAGTATAGTTAGAGGACTCATGCTCCCTGATGTTAAGAATTAGTACAAAGCTGTATTAGTGAACATAGCATAAAGTGATAAGATAGACACCTAGATCAATGGAACAGAATAGAGTCCACAAATAATCCCATTTTTATTTTAAATGAAGATGTTAAGGTAATTTAATGGACAAGGGGCAACTTTTCAATAAATGGTGCTGGAACAACTACATATTCATACACAAAAATAAAACAAAACACCTTTACCAGTTCCTTCCATCTGTATACAACTTTAACTCAAAAGGAATGACATATTGTAACAAAACCTAAAATTTTGACACTTCTAGAAGAAAACATCACAGAAAATCTTCGTGGCCTTGCAGTAGATAGACTTTTTAAAGATAAGACACAAAAAACAATGTCCATAAAATTTTTTTGCTCTTTGAAGACA